GATCCTTCTATAAATTTGGTCGGTCCACGTGAAATAATGTTGGGCAGGTGGGCCGTAGAAGAAGAAATAGAAAAAGACTTGCAATTTAGGTCCACTCGAGATAATTTCTACGTGATGACTAATTCGGTCTTTGGATCTTTTTCTTTTTCTTTTTGATTTCCTTTGAAGTTTAAACCCAAAGTCTATTTGTATATTATTTCGGTTGAATTGCAAGAACCTTTGCACGTTAAATAATGCTTATTCACTTCCACAATGTAATACTTTCGCATCTTACACAAAAAGTCAGTCATAAATTTGTAACTCTAAGTATTTCATTATAAGACAGTAATATATGTATAACTTTGGGGTTTTGCTTAGAGTGTGTATATATGAAAAAGCTGAAAGCTTTGGAGACAAAAAGTCACGAAAAAATGGGTGCATGAATCTGATGTCGCCCTTTTTAACTTAATTCCTATTTTCATATTAAAATTCTACTAAACATATCCAATTTTTTTGTCAATGTTTTACTAAACATGTTACGAACAAAGAAATATTGACATAATTAAATGGTAGATGATTATTTTATGTGTAGTAGACCACTAATCATGTCTTTCGGCGTTTATTATCACATCTTTTCGGTGAATCTTCTTATACTTTTCACTACTAGACACTGCTTCGTATTTTCTATTAAGTAGTTGGCTAATTTCTTGTATATTTTGTGTATTATTAGTGAATCTTTATATTATATATGTAATATCTACGTGTATTTGTCTGTGTTTTTCGGCAAGAAAATCATTTGATTTTGGGATGTAATAAGATTTTGTTCGCACATTGAAGAAAACTTATAATAAGAGTTGAGAGACAGTAGAGGTGTGCTGATGAATAGGTTGTGAGTTTAATGTTACTGTCGTATATCAACACTCGTGTCCTACCTTTATTTTCTTGCCTACTTCCTGTTTTCTTTTGTCTTTCAAATTTATATTTTAGAATTACTATATTTGATAAGTGGGATTTTCTTCGTCCATATGTCTATTTGATTACCAGATTTATAACCAAATTAGTAAGAGAAACTTTAATGTGTCATTCTCTAATGGATAATACTTAATAAAACTTTACTTATGAAGCTTCATTCAACTTTTAAACAAAATATTTGGTAATTTAGAACTAGTGATGATTTATATGATCTCACGGCGGTAACTCAACCTCTATACTATATAACCACGCCAAAAGATAGAGTTTTTAAGATCACAAATTTGAACATCGACGATGGGAAAGAAACTAATTTAATATGCTATATATGTTTTCTAATCATACGAGATTATAGGTCTAGGTGCGGAACTTCTTGATTAATGAAAATGAAAAAAAAAACAAAGATGATAAAGAGGGGCCCCAAAAGTAATGGTAATTTAATAGAAACTATTTGTCATATATAATCGGAGCCAATAGACGAGTATCCTCTTTAGTCATTGAAAATCTCACGTAACATTTGTAGGCGCTAGATATTGTATTTACATATGTAATATCTCCATATGTATCTTGATTTTGGTACTAGCTAGGAACAAAACAACATTAATTACTATGTCGTCTTGATCGAAGAGAAGAATTTCTATCACGAAACTTATAAATGTTTTAACCAACCCCGTCTGAAGAATCATGGTTATAATGCCTATTGTTCTCTCCAAATCTTGTATAATATTACAACAAATGGCTATAAGACTTTAAACGATCCCTATCGAAACCAATATTACAATGGTCTAATTAACGGTTACATCATTCACTTTTTGAGTTGAAAAACCAATATGCGAATTTTCACATACCGATTTCAATTATGGCTTGGCCATTATATAGTAATATTTAACGCTTACATGGATTTCAAAGATCAATGTAAGATTCGGTTCGAAATTCTCCGGTTAGATAAAACAAAGATTGGTAATAATGCTAATTATTACTTTCTCTCCAAATCTTGTATAATAGTATTCAAATGGATGCATGCAAGCGTAAACGGGAACACAAGTATATATACAAAATCACATATGCATGTGGACATGGAGGAACCAACCATGTCCACTTGTGTCACGTATAATTCTATCCTATCATGAAGATGCAGACATGGTTTGTCACATTAGCTACGCGATCTGATTATGAACTGACAAGAGAGCGAAACATGCAGCTAAATGGACTTTGATACATACATATATACCTGCACCTGCATACAAATACTAGCAATGCATGTGTAGTGGTGCAAGTAGTTGCATATATATTTAACATTTTACCCCCAAAAAAAAGAAAAGAAGTAGTTGTACATAAAGCTGTCGTCGCAGCGCATTTACATGTTAGAGTTGAGGATCATGTGTAGGGTCAATTTTTGGGTTGTCAAGAGGTAATTTGTACTTGAATAGAAGTCTCGTGAGTTCTTAGTTTGGATGCAAACCTAACTTTATTCAAATTTGGTAAAAGTAAGAAGAACTTGTACGATATCCACTTGCTACATTTACATATTCACAACCCTTAGATTCTCGAATAGCCATTCTTTCTTGTAAGAAAATTTATAATGTAGGTTTGTATTTACGACTCAATATTACGCCAAATCCAAACCAAATAAAAATTTAGACATCATAGATCACTAAATTTTTCAAATCAAGAATAAGAGTTCTTCATAAATTGTGTCCAATTTCATTAAGTATATTGGATAATACTTTCTCTCCGTTTCACAAAAA